CAAAATTAGCATTTTTAAATATGCTCTCTAGATTATTTTTATGCACACTCTAGTTGGAGAAACACTGCCTTAATGAGCAACTTTCATGGTAATGACTTATTTTAATGAAGGATGCCAGCAAGTGTTACAAGATTTTGCTTAGAAAACTGAGGAAACCCGATTCCTTGCATAAGCAAGCAGGGTGCACCTGCGCTGTGAATCTGTGGTTTCTTGGGGGAGAAGGCGTAGGCACATGTCAAAGTGACCAGACGCAGGAAGCCCTGCACCAACAGTCTGTTAAGAACTTATCCAGTGGAACAAAGCTCTGTGAGAAATGAGACCCTGTGCTCTCCTGGAGACTGTCTACAGATTAGAAAAGTAGTGTGTACTTCCCCCTCCTCTTCTCCAGGAAGTCTGCTCTACATTAAGCTGGAAAAGGTCTCACTGAGCACTGCCCACACACATAATAGGCACTTTGCCTCTAGAACACTTACTCTGTGTCTTCCGGGTGGTGGTCAGCGGTGGGTGAACCAAGGTGGTAGCCAGTAGACAAGTTTTCAAGCTGAGTTGCTATGGCGCTTATATTGGTATCTGCTACAACCTGGGGGGAAAGTTAGAACAAGACAAGCCATTATAAGTCAGGGGAGAATTAGAGAAACCATAGTATATCCAATGGTCAGTTCTCATCCCTCCTCTTATTCAACCTATCTGCAGCATGTGACACAGTGACCGACTCTCTCTCAAACTAGTTTCTTCATTTGGCTTCCATGACACCGCACTAGTCAAGTTTCCTTTTGACCTTCTGGCCATTTCGTCCTATCTCCCAAACCTCTAACTCTGAGCGCCACAGGGCTCATCTGTCACTTCATATTTGAATGTGTGGGCAGGAAGTCTGTCTGCTTGGTTTACTACTGTATCTCTGTATTTTACTTGTATTTCCAGTTTGGTCCTGAGAGAGTCAGTGCAGCTTCCACTTACTCCTGTAATCCATTACAACTGTATCTCTATTATGAAAATCTATCCAGTGTATATTAGGTGTTTAATTCATATTTGGTGACTGAAAGAAAGAATGAATATCTCCATGACTTGCCTTTAAAATCTTTTTATTGATTGATTTTAGAGAGAGGAAAAGAGAAGAGAGAAAGAGAAAGGGAAATATTGATTTTTTGTTCCACTTATTTATGCATTCATTGGTTGATTCTTGTATGTGCCCTTACTGGGAAATCAAAACCACAACCTTGGACAATGCTCTACTCAACTGACCTACTTGGCCAGGGTCTGATTTGCCTTTTAGATGGCCCCAAACGTATAATAGAACAACATTTAAACATTCACCTTGTATTTCTACCCTGCAAAAAACATTCCAAAGCATTCAGAAGAAACATGCTCTGACAGCCCATGCTAGGACACAGAAAGGAGTTCTGGTGTTCAGTTTCTCCCACTTAAATGACGCTGTGTCCGAGTTCCAGCTTCCTCATCTGTCAGGTGGGAATCATAAAAGCCAGCGTTGTCTTAGCCTAAAGTTGTCTTCACCTCAGAGTTATCAGAGCTTCTTTCTCAAGAGCTCCTGGACTACCCCTGCTTCTGATCAACGGTTCTTCCAAGTTATCATTCTCAGTGCACAAGGAAGGACAGTGAAGGGACTAAGCCAGTGATGGCGAACCTTTTGAGCTCGGCGTGTCAGCATTTTGTAAAACCCTAACCGAACTCTGGTGCCGTGTCACATATAGAAATTTTTTGATATTTGCAACCATAGTAAAACAAAGACTTATATTTTTGATATTTATTTTATATATTTAAATGCCATTTAACAAAGAAAAATCAACCAAAAAAATGAGTTCGTGTGTCACCTCTGACACGCACGCGTGTCATAGGTTCGCCATCACTGAACTAAGCAGTGCAAAGGAGCTTGATTTGATTGCAGTTTCATAATAAACCAACAGAGGGCGCGGCTGCCTGTACGCTTGGTTGTATCTGTTAATATTTAGCAGGAAAGCAAGTGACAGGGCAGCCCCGGCCCCCGCCCTGGCTGGATCGGAACACATTTTGGGTGAAGGATCCTACTCTGGGGGAAAACACTGCTAAGTGCAAGTTACAGGATCTTCTGGAATACCATCATATAAAGAATGACTAAATGAACTGGGGGAGTATGTAGAATAAGAGACAAAGAGGAAATGACAGATTCTCCCTCCCCACGACAGCCCCTCCACTGACCACCACAGCAAGTGTTTTGAAGTTGCCTTTGCACGTGACCTCTGTAATCTTGCCTACTCTTAGCCCACACCATCTTCATAAACCCACTCCATTCCAGCTTCCATCCCCATCACCTGGCCCAAATGTCCATGGCCTGCCTCTCTGGCTTTGCCCACTTTTCTAAGTCTTTGCTCTCTACTCACCCCTTCTGGCTCAGTCCTGGACCCACTTCCCACTTGCACACTCAGGGTCTAGGTGACAGCATACATTCCTATAGCTTTAAATGTTAACAACGTGCTGACAATTCCCAGCCTAGGTGTTATATCCAATTGTCAACTTAACATCTGCATTTTAATATCTCAAGGGCTTATTAAAATGAACAATTAATAAACCCTTGAGATATTAAAATGCACACAACCAAATCCAAACTCTTGATCCAACAGCAGAATCCCTTCAATTTATTTTTCTTCTAGTTTTCTACCTTTTAGTAGATGGCACCTCTAGCTGACTAATTAGAAATGCACTAGTTATAATATTGGAAATACTTGATTGCTGACTGGTGACTGTCCAAATGGAAAGGAAGCTAGGATGCTAACCATAGAGGTGCTGCTCTCTGAGTACCAGCCTGACAGCTCCCCCTCTCACCAGCCACATGTAATTCCTTCACCAAGTCCTCTGCAGTCTATCTCCAAAATACATATCAAATCTGTTTAGTTTTCATCTCTATGGTGACCATCTTAATTCAACTCATCATCAGCTGCCTTTTAACTGGAATCTCCACTCATCCCCTTCAAATCTCTCTACCACACAATAGCCATGTATCTCTTTAAATATAAAGTAGATAATGCCACTCCTCTGCTTAACACCTTTCAGTGGTCTCTCTTAGTACTTGGAATAAAATTTACACTCCCTAATTATACACACAAAGGCCCTCCCCTTGCCTACCTGTCTAATCCCATCTATCTTCTTCCGCTCCACCCTAAATTCCACAGTTCTCTGGAATCCACTGCCCCCTCTCCCTCCCATTCCTCCCTGCAAACCAGCCAGCCTGGCGTCAGCTTTGAAGTCACTTCCCTTACATGAGCCTTCTCTGGCTACCCATGTTTACATTAATTTCTTCTCTTTTCCTCTCCACAGGACTCTTGAAGTAATCCTAACAAATTGTATATTTGTGTGACTATCATTACCATCCGATCACAGGATTCATGAAGATAAGGGCTGCTTCTCAGTGTTCATGTGCCTGGCACATAATTACCTAGTGAGTATTTGTGGAGTGAATGAGTGAATCTAAAACCTTCCTAAGGAGTAGGGATTATGACACTCAATTTTCTGAATTTCCACAATACAGAGTGAGACTGATAGAGGTTACAAGGAGATTGGTTTTAGGTCCTTTTAAGAAGGAAAAAGTAAATGATTAAGGTGTTACATAATGGAATGGCACATAAGCACCCCACAGAGCAAGCACTCAAGTAAAGACACAAAACCAATCAGTTTGGGGTGTGGTGAAGGGAACGCCTAGACTTGGTGAGAATCTGGACACGTACTTTCAGCTGACCCAGAAACAGGCCATCTGTTGTGGGGTTGATGAAGATCTCCGTGGCAAGCTGTTCGTTTCTTTACTCGCGTATTCTATGTATAACAGCACCACTGTCCAGCCGAGCACTTGCTTTATGCTGAGCATGCTTCTGAGTCCCTACCGGTGGGTGCCATGATTGTTCCCATATTACAGACAGAAACACCTGGAGCAGGGAGGTTAAGTAACTTTCCAGCACGAGTGAAGGAGTGAAGGCTGAATTCAAATCCATGCCATTTTACTCTAGAATCCAGTGCTTTTAGTCATGTGCAGTGTGAGGCAAATCACCTGGTGTGAGAGGAAAGACTTCACTTTCTTTATTTTTAAATTTTATTTTTTCTCTTTTGTTGTCATTATTTATTTATTTATTTTTCTCTTAAGAGGGCACAGACTTCCCAGTGTAGACACGGAACGAGGGGAGGGGAGGGGAAGAGGGGCAGAGAGATAGTCCAACAGCAGGTGCAAATAGAGCAGGCAGTCATCATGGCCCGTGCTTGGCAGCAGGCAGGAAAACATCATCCCATTCCCCTATAGGACACCACACAGAGAGGCTCGGGTGTGGGAGACAGACACCCCACAGATGCTCTAGAAGAAAGCCGTTTAACTTTTACCGAGAAAGATACTTTCAAGAGTTCATGAAATCAGCCATACAAATTACAAAACCAAAGTGATAGTTCATTTGGGTAAAAAACTTTTGCTTATTTTTTAAAATCTAGCTAGAAAAATGTGAAAACATTTGTACAACATCATCTTGCAGAAAAAAATCACATTCCTTCAAAACATCAAGGCCTCTAGCTCACCCCAGAGCCCTGAAATAAAAAGGGGTTCCCAACCACGTATAATATTAAATCTGAGATCCACCTAGGACCCTAGAGCTACCCAGGTTCATGCCTATTTTGTAGAAGTGGAACCCAAAGGGCTGAGTGGGCAACGAGAAGGATTTTCATCAACAGCTAGGTCTTTTGTAGGAAGATAAGGAGAGCACAAACCTGTTACCTGAAAATGACTTTGTAGCCCCAAGGCATTGTTGGTCTCCCAAATTGATTTGCCTTCCCAGGGATTAATTCATGAAAGGGGATAATCTCATTTCCAAGTCTTTCTGATTTGCCTTCCCAGGGATTAACTTGTGAAAGGGAATAATCTGATCTCGGAAGGGCATATATATTCAGCTGGATACAAGTTCAAGATGTGGTCTATGAGTATTGGCTCAGCCCTGCGTCTGAAGTGTTTGCTCTTGCCCCACCAACACCTAGGACTGAACAGCATGGAGGTAAGGCTAGGGGAGATATATTTGTGTTTTGAAGTAGGGGGAGGCAGACAGGCTAATGAAAAACTTAATTTTTTTTGGAAAAGAAAAGTATATCTTGAATTCCTGGGTACAAACTTCTGTGGTAGACTGAGAGGATAGAGATGGGAGCAGAGGAAACCAAGGGAAAACAAATGTGTTCCCTGCCCTCCAGAAACAGGCTTGTGATGGATGCCATCTACTGTGGGGGGCAGATGTGAACACATGCCGTTCAAAGTGGAGAGAGGAGCGGGGAAGACTAGGAATCCCAGGTAAGGCAGGGAGGCTTGGAGGTCCTTAGATGATGGGTATTAGGTCTGCACAACTTGAATGTGTGGTTCAAGAGCTGCGGTGTCTGGAGGAGACCTTGGGCCCAGCTAGGGCCAGCTCCAACTCTGTTTTTAAAAAAGATATTTTTATTGATTTCAGAGAGGGAGAGAGAGAGAAACATCAATGATGAGAGAGAATCATTGATCATCTGCCTCCTGCACCCTCCACACGGGGGATCGAGCCTGCAACCCAGGCATGTGCCCTGACCAGGAATCAAACC